AAAGAAAGAAAGAAAGAAAGAAAGAAAGAAAGAAAGAAAGAAAGAAAGAAAGAAAGAAAGAAAGAAAGAAAGAGAAAGAAAGACAGACCAAAGAAAGAAGGAAAGAAAGAGAGAAATAGAGAAAGGAAAGAAAGAAACATAAAAATGTTCAGCCATCCAAAATGCAGGCTTCTGATTGTCTCATGTATAACAAATTTCTGGTCCTCACAGCACTCTGCAATTCCTTGTGCAGCCTGTGAATGTTACGCTCTGGCCTCCCACTCCATCTCTGCTCTCTGGTCTTGATTGTTCTTTGAATACATATTTTTCTTACCTTGATTTCACATTTATTTATGTTCTTCCTGTTTTCTTGTGATCCTGTGGGTAAGTTCCCATTTGAGGAGTGATGCAGAGTGTAAATCAGTGGTGTGCTGGAGCTGGCTCATCCTGGCCCACAAGAGATTGTGCAGTTCTTCCCAATTCTGAGCTGAGTGGAGTGACACTGGTAGCTTAAAATATGCTGTACTAGAAATATTTACACCACAGCAATTGTCAAACACTGCAAATCAGCACTTTTCCTTTGGAGAGCCTGTTTTTAAGTGTTGGACAACATACCACTGGTAAAAATGAACAAATAAAAAATACTTACGGAAGGCACAAAAGGTTTGGATAATATAGTCAATTTGCTGAGGTTCTTTATTTTAGAATTCTCAGCCTCTCTCCATATGTGGGCTACATAATAAATACCAGCATCTAAGAATTACTCCCTAAATTACTATATTGTTTCATTTGCAAGATCAAGAGAGAATAACGAAAGTGGACACTGAGTTTTTACTACGTGCTAGGCTCAAGGCTGAATGTTTAAAATGCATGATGTCATTTAATCTGGTCTACAATCCCATGGCCATATTATATTCATCTTGTAAGTGAGGGATCTGGAGCTCCATGATCTTAGCTATTTGCCCCAGCACATGTAGTGAGTGACAGATCTAAGACTCTAACCCAGGTTGGTTAGATTCTGGAGTTCATGCCTATAATCTCAAGGCTCTGTGTAGACAGCTTTCGAGGGCTCTCAATTCCACTTACCTGTCCTCAGCTTCCTTAGTTGACTTACAAAGAGAAAGACTGTCTGTCAAGTGAGTCTCTGTGCCTTTCACGTAGGGGTATGGATTTACCTTTGTCTTGAAATTCCAAAAACACATCACCTTAGGATCTGCAGAACAAGGGCCTGAGTAGTCACATAAAGAGAATACGTTAATAAGGTAACAGGGAAGCTTATTTTCTCAGAGAGAGAAAGAGTAAAAGAACAAGGAGAAAGAGAGACAGAGACAGAGATCATAGTAAGGGTGGTGGTAAAGAGAAGAGAAAATAGGCGGTTTGGAAAAGTGAAAATCTGACATCGGTGAAACAGGCATGTATGGTGATTAGGGAGAGGAGACTTAATTTTCATCGATCAATATACATATTTTTTTCTTTCAGAGAGACCTTTTCTTTCCCCTGAGGAATTGTGTTTATTACCCCCATGGCCACAGCCATGGCCTTGGTCTGGACCTGGACTTGGGCCTGGGCTCTGGGACATTCCACAGCCTGGGAAATGTACCAGTTCATGGAGGAGAACTTGAAATGGGACATGGAGGAACATGTGGCTTTGGACATGGAGTGGGCCATGGACTGAGCCACATCCATGGAGATGGCTACGGAGTGAATCATGGCGGGCATCATGGACATGGAGGAGGCCACTGAGGAGACCATGGAGTGGATCACAGAGGAAGCCACCAAGAAGGCCATGGCAGGACAAGATGGCTGTGGCCATAGATTGGGTATCAAAATATATTATGGGTGGGAGGGGGTCACTGAGGAGAAAAAAATAATGATAATGAAATAATTAAAATGGAGCATCGGAAGGTTCCCAGGATGTGATCTGTGGAGACGGACATGGACTAGGTTAAGAAAAGAAACAGCAAAAGGACACGGAGACTTTGACCGGCTTGGAGGTGACTTCGAGTCAAAGCTTCTGTGAGTTTTTCCTGAGTCTCCGCTTCTGTTGTGGGGAGTCACGACGACCACCCTCGGGACATCTTCTCTCCCATTTCCCGCCACATCAGGGTCAACGTTTCTCATCCCTGTTTCCTCATGATGCTATAAATATTACCAGGGCATGTCTAAGAAACAAAAGCATGTAATGAATGTATTATCAGGGGCCACACACTTATTCGTTTACCTGTTTGTTCTTTCAGTTTGTTTTTTTTTTTCAAGTGCTCATTATGTACCAATCACTATCCCGGGAGCCTTTAAATATGTCATCATTTGGCTGGGTACGGTGGCTTATGCCTGTAATCCCAGCACTTTGAGAGGCCAATGTGGGGGGAATCACTTGAGGTCAGGAGTTCGAGACCAGCCTGGCCAACATGGTGAAACTCCACCTCTACTAAAAAAATACAGAAATTAGCCGGGCGTGGTGGCGAGTGCCTGTAATCCCAGCTACTTGGGATGCTGAGGCAGGAGAATCAGTTGAATCTGGGAGGTGGAGGTTGCAGTGAGCCAAGATTGTGCCACTGCACTCCAGCCTGGGCAACAGAGGAAGACTGTCTCAAAAAAAAAAAAAAAAAAAAGATCATCATTTAATCCTCAGCAAATATCTTGGTGATCCTGAGGTAAGCAAAGATACTTAGATACTTAAGCAAGACACAAAAAGCACTAGCTATTAAAGGGAAGTGTGAGGATGTGGACTTCATTAAAGCCTAGTATCAGCATATACCTTTAAGAGGTATATTCTTAACTATAAAAGGAAAGTCAAAGATGGGAGAAGATATTGCAACACATATAACTAACAAAGGACTCATACCTAGAATGCAGAAAGAACTACAATAAGAAAAAGATGATGCAATTTTAAAATGGGCAAAATATTTGATAAATAGTTAACAAAAGAGGATATCAAAACAGCCGGTGAATGTTTGAAAAGGTACCCCATATCACTACTTATCAGAGAAGTGGAATGTAAAACCGCAATAAGATATCACAACATACACACACCATGATGACTAGCATTTAAAATACCAAGTATTGGAAAGGACATTGAACAACTGGAACTCTCACACGTTGTTAGTGGGACTGTAAATTGATACAATTATCTTGGGAAAATGTTTGGCAATGCTAAAATTAAACACACATACCCTGTGACTCGGTACTTCCACTCCTGAGAGTAAATATCCAGCAGAAATGAATGCCTGTGTCCACCAAAAGACATGTACCATGCCAGCTTCATTCACACCACTGCAGGGTGGAAATTGACCCCCAAAGTCCACTAACATTAGAATGGGTAAGTAAATTGTGACATATTCATACAGCAGAATGCTACCCAGTAGTGAAAAACCCCTATGAAATCATGCAGTAACATTAATGAATCTCATAGTCAATGTTGAGTAAAAGAAGTCAAAACAAAAGTGTACTTACTGTATAATTACATTCACATACAGTTCAAGAACATGTGACATAAACCTGTTGTAATAAAAGTCAGAGTTCAGGATGCCTTTGGGGGAAAAGGCTGACCGAGAGAAGGCATGAGAAAGCCTGCTTGCAGGGATAGACAGGGGAAGCTGAGAATGTTCTATACATGATCTGGGTGGTGATTACAAGGGTGTATAGATATGTAAAACTTCATTAAAATGTGCACATGAGATCTGTGCACTTTATGGTATGTAAGTTATGCCTCAGTTTGAAAAATGAAAAAGATATTCTGAAGCTATTTTCTCAGCATATTATGATATCCTTGGTTGGAGACACATGATGGTAAATGAGGCATTCGGTAAGCCCAAAGACAGTGGTGCTGCAGGAAGCATTGTGTGCAAGGGAGGCAAGTAACTATCTTCAGTGAGGACAAATCACCTCTCCCTTTAGGTTGAATGAGGTCTGATGTAATTAATCTGCCATTCTCTCTGGAGAATGGTGCCACATAATGAGGCCAACATTGATCTCCACTGTTAGCAGTCGAGGCACTCAGCCACAGAGTATCTGTCCAGCTTGGCCTTGGTGAGGGGAAGGCAAACTCACTGAGCCTTGCATACCCTTCATCCCTGCCACCATGTCTGCTTTGTCCACGTCCCTACTGAGCGAGCATTAGAGCAGCTGGGAAAAGAGATTGACTGACGTCTGTAGAATGGATCACCTGGTCAACCTGATCATGGAAGATTTCCTCTGCAGTGAATGCCCATTGGTGAACAGTCACATGGGACACACATACTCTCACCATCTGTGCCCTTCCCAAGAGACTCATCCACCTTCCTCTTCCTTGTCATCAACTCACTATATCTTTCCACACCCCGAGTTATCTAGCCAAACTGTTAGTCACTGTCTATTGATCAGGGTTAACGTAACTCTGGTCATCTCTTTGTCCAGGCAAAGTAAACAAAGCAGATGCATTCTTTACAATTCAAATCACTGGGAGGATTTTCCTTCCCCACTGTCCTGCAGGGCTGCCCTGAGTAGGGCAGTAATGCTGCAGCAGCCTACTCTCTGTGGTGTTAGAATAGCAGGCAGAACCACCCACACACCAGAGGAAACCAAATCTTTCCTTTCTCAGTCAACTAGATATAGGAAACCCTTCATGTGACTATGATTATGGAGGAAGAGGTTAGGAATGTAGCTAGAGATGCCATTGGAGTTACAGCGGCCTACTCATGCCTCTTACTTGTGCCTTGAGGACCTAACTTGGCCAAATTCACAGGCTCCGCTTCCATTCAAGGAGGTGAGCGCTGCTAAGTATGCCCAGTCTAGTGTGGTGGTGCAGACAACACCCAGTTCATAAAGGGCAGCTCATGTTTCATGAACTCTTGCATGCTGAGAACCCAAGATCAAGTCAGATGCCAGGATGTGGAAGAGGGCATGCTTTTGCTCCAAAGCTCTGGGCACCTGTGCTGTGGTTCTTCTACTAGCTACCCAGTGTCTCCACACAGCTTTCTGACGTACCACAGACATTTTAGGCAACATTGGATCTATTCAGCGATGTCTCAAGCGGCCTTATGGCCTTGCTTTGGTTCCCACTTGAAAGTGGGGAAATATGCGTGGATGGAGCCTAGAGATGAACTTGGAGTAAGATGTCATTTATGTTCTTTTTCTTTCTTTTTTTTTTGAGACGGAGTCTTGCTCCATCGCCCAGGCTGGAATACAGTGGCGTGATCTTGGCTCACTGCAACCTCCGCCTCCTGCCTCCCAGGTTCAAGCGATTCTCCTGTCTCAGCCTCTAGAGTAGGTGGGACTACAGACACCTACCACCATGCCTGGCTAATTTTCATATCTTTAGTAGAAAGATAGAAACAAGGTTTCATCTTGTTGGTCAGGCTAGTCTCAAACTCCTGACCTCAGGTGATCCACCTGCCTTGGCCCCTCAAAGTGCTAGGATTATAGGCGTGAGCCACCGCGCCCTGCCACGTCATTTGTGTTCTAACCCCCATAAGCTCCACCCTGACTTGTAGATCACAATGATATCTTATATATTACCCTAAAAGTTTGGGTGTTTTCATTTTCCCCATTGCACTGTCACGATGATAAATGGCTGAGATTCCTTTTGAAAGCTAGGAGGAAGATTCGTGGCACATCCTTGTGTTGGTGGTGGATCTTGCTGCCTTGCCTTCATTTCTAGGTCTGTGAACAGGTTCGGGTCTGGGAATTAGGTGAGAATCTGAGACTCTCCACTGTGGCAACTCAAGTCAGCTCTCTGTTCAACCACCTAGACGTTTTCACTTATGCGGATCAAGTAAGATTTTAGTGGGCTGAATATACATTTCATTCCTAGTAACACCATGATTAATTAGCCATGGCCAAAGATCCCTGATTATAGCTCTGGTCGTGATGCCCACATCAATAATCATGCCTGTCTTTTCTCTAGAGGGAAAGCCCTAGCACCCACCTACTATTTCCTAAAGATTCCACCATGCCCACTGAAATCAGGAAACTCATTTCACTGGTCATATCATCCACCATCGCATTTAGCGAAGTGCTGCTACAGAGCTTTTCAATGATGCTGGTCCTTTCTAATGCCCTGATGAAGACAGTTTCAATGGAACCTTCTGGGAGGACATAATGAAGGAGTGGGTGAGCAAGTTGCACATATTAAATCCATTCCAACATAACTCTCTTCCTAAGTCTTTTGATTTTTTTCTTCCAATTATACTAATGAAATACTGGCATCTCAACTTCATTTAGTGTAGGCCACCAGTAAGTCCACATTTCAAGCAACCAAAAGAACTGTTAGGGCAACTCACACCTACTTGAGCTAATAATTGAATCTAGAACATGCATTAAGTTCACCCATGTGTTTGTTTTCTATCAGTGATAACTTACTACAAATGTACCAGCTTAAACCAACACCCATTTATCAGACCACAGTTCTATGAGGCAGGTCTGGGACCAGCATGACTGGCTCCTTTGCTCAGTCTCACAGGTTAAAATAAAGATGTTAGTTGAGCTGCATCCTCATCTGGAGGCCAGCATCTCTTTCAAGCTCACGTGGTTGTGGCAGAGTCCAGTTTCTTGTGTTTAGAGTTGAGGCCCCTGTTTCCTTGCTCACTATCAGCTGCGGTTGCTCTCAGCCCCTAGATCTGACTCGATGCATGGAGCTGGAGGCCACAAGGGGCATTGTAATAGTGCCTATGGTAGGCAGAATAACAGCCTCTCAAAAACATCCATGTTTTAATTCCCAGAACCTGGAAATATGTTACTTTATATGGTAAAAGGGACTGTGCATGCATGATTGCATTAAGGATCTTGTAATGGGGAGATTATCCTGGATTATCTGTGTGGCCCCAGTGTGATCACAAAGGTCCTTATAAGAGGGAGATGAGAGGCCAGGTACAGTGGCTCATACCCGTAATCCCAGCACTTTGGGAGGCCAAGGTGGATAGATCACGAGGTCAGGAGTTTGAGACCAGCCTGGCCAACATAGTGAAACCCCATCTCTAATAAAAATACAAAATTTAGCCGGGTATAGTGGTGGGCGCCTATAATCCCAGCTACTCAGAAGACTGAGGCAGGAGAATGGCTTGAACCCAGGAGATGGAAGTTGCAGTGAGCCAAGATCGTGCCACTGCACTCCAGCCTAGGCGACAGAGCGAGACTCTGTCTCAAAAAAAAAAAGAGGGAGATGGGAGTCAGAGTCAGAGATTTGAAGACGCTGCAAGGCAAGCTTCGAAGATAGAGAAGGGGCCACAAGCCAAGGAGTGCTAGAAGCCTCTAGCAGTGGAAAAGGTGAGTAAACAAATTCTCCTCCAGAGCCTCCAGAAGGATCATAGCCCAGCTGACACCTTGACTTTAGCCCAGTAAAACCTATTTTAAACTTCCGATCTCCAGAACTGCAAGAGAATATA